ACCCCCAAAAAACGCAAGCCAAAACAAAAAGTAGAAAAAAAAAAAAAAAAGAAAAAAGCCACCCTCTCCTCTTCTCCAGCAAAAATGCTGTCTGCTTATCCAGAGGCTGAATAACGGACAGGCCAAATGTAACAACACTTTCTGCTTTTCTAGCACACTTACATACCAGGATGTGGTAGTAACGGTAGATGCCATGAGGCAGGGCACCAATTAGCAGTTGGATGGGTACACTTTCAAAGGCACAAACAGTGCCTAAAGGAGCCAGGGCAGCCCCGAAAGCCTGCACGCGCCTCACAAGGCCGGCAGAACCACGCCAGAGCAAACTTCAGCCACTTTCTGCAAGGGCACCGCCAATTACCGATTTCCCACAAACTTTGTGTTGCTCCAAAACAAGAAGGAGTGCCAAAAGGACCACATATGGAAGTAGGAATTGCCATTCTGCCCTCGAGAGCCACAGGAATGCGTTTATTATGGGGGTACAGGCTGGCTAGGTAATTAATAATCTTCCCTTGGGACAAACAGACCTGTAAAGAGGAGTACCAGACTTGTTTACATCAAGATAAATTAAGCACCAAGATGAGCATTAATTCAGAGATTATGGCTGGGACAACTTGGTGACATGTCAAACAACAAGACAGACATACTTAGATAAGATGACAAATGGATTATTGACTGTAATTAAGAAGTTCAGTCAAGACTTCTTAGGCCATTAAGCGCATCCTGGCAAGAAACCATCATGCATACTCCATGCTTGAGATTAATTTATTTTAAATGCAATTACTCTAAGCCGTTGCTTTCCTTCATTACTTTTTGTACACCCTTGGTTGGCAAGACTACTGTCTGTAAAATTGTGAGCTCTGTAAGATTTAGAGGATGGCTCATACCTGGTCCTCCTGGTCCAGGACTTCACTGATCAATAAAACAGTCAGTCTTACTTTTGCACCGCCGGTATGCAATAAAGAACTGTCCCCCTCAGGGTTATTGAGATTCAGCAATGACAACAGAAGCTTTTACAATGCCTGACATTTGCATTCATGACTACCGCCACGAAAGCAAGGGCCAAAACAGCCCCAGCACAAGGCACTGACATCAAACCTGAGCGGGTGGCACAGGGCTCCCATCGTCATCCCGTGCCAGTTGGTTTTCCCCGCCATTTCAGGACTGCCGGCACCCTCTGAGCCGGGGCCCTGCACAGGCAGCGATGGGCCCTTCCAAGGACCAGTGCTTGGCCAAGGGAGGCGAGAACAGCTTGTGCTTCACAACAGCAGCTGCTGGAGAATGGGCTGACTCAAAATAAAGTCATTCTCTCTCCAGCAGCCTGTTTCCTATCGTATCAGGTAGCATGTGGCATGGAAACTCTTCCATAAAGGAAAAGGATGGCTAATAAGTTTGTGCAAAAAGGCCTGAGAACATCGATGACTACGCCAGTGGTGCCACTCCGGAAACCTTCTTGTCAAATAATGCTGATCCCTTTAAAATGAAACTGTTTGGAAAAGGGTTACTTTTGATTTGCTTCCTGGTTTTGAAACGATTTGTTAAAAAAAGGCCTTGAAATTATCAAAAGTTTCCATTTTGGCACATGGGAAAGAGCTTAATTTTCCAGCTCAAGCAATGTTTTCTTTTACAGCTAATGTTAAACAGAAAATAGAAATGTAAAGCATTCAGGCTGTAAGCGACATATTTGGAAATCGCCGAACTTTGACGCCTTGACTTCCCCGACCCACTCCACCCTCCCTGCTTCCACGGCGACAGAACTGCTTTTTTTCATGGTTGTCCCTGACTTCAGAAGGGAAAATCACCCCAATCTCCCCAGTGCGTGGCGGGCCGGGCAAGTGGCTTCCCGGGCAGCTCTAGCAGGCAGGCCTTGGCACGGGGCTTCAGTGCAGCCGGCTGCCAGCCCCCTTCTCGCCCACTCCCCCTCTTCACACGTGCTTCAGAGTGCTGGACAGGGCGGACGCAGTCAGTCAAAGAGGGAACGATGCGTCTGGACGAGGCGGG